TTTGTTTTAAAGAGTTCCTCACTGCATACACCTTTGCTCTACTGTTTGAGACCACATGGCAATATCTGTGGAGGTCTAACTCTGGGCTCTAGTCTGTTTTATTATTTATTTTTAGCAGTTGCTTAAAACTCATAATCACGCACATAAAATATTAACAAGTCCTTACTATAGTCAATGCTGCTTAGAGATTTTATTTTTTTCTACGTGTATGAGTGTTTGCCTGAATGTATGTCAGGGTCAAAACCCAATGACATCTTGACCTTCTGCCCCAGAGGTCAGGGCTCTTTTTTGGGGGGGAGGGCAAGGAAATGCAGAGAATTTAGGAATGCCACTGCAAGCAGGCTCTTGCTTGTGAAAAATGACTCAGAGACTTCCTCTTCACTTGGCTCCCAGGGGCTCCCTCACATGAAACTCTATTATCTTTCCCTTGGAATCTGACCAGTCCCAGAGAAATGACCCAAATGTGATAATACTGGAGATTCCCTACTGAATGCTCATGCCAGGATGAATGGCCCCGCCCACTATACAGTATCACAACCTCAATCAGCTTTAGAGACCCCCTACTCTTAAATACCATTATGTGTCCACAGTGGTTATTTCAATGTACAGTTAGATGAAAACAGAAAGAAAACAGAACCCTTCCTAGAGTATTATCATTATTTCCAGGGAAATAAATAAGTAGGTCTTAAGAGAATAGTCAGAAGACAAAGGGCTTAAGTTAAAAGATTCTCACAAAGTAGAGTAAGCACAGAAAACAAGGAGAAGACTTTTACATTAAGACACAGGTAGGGGATCCAAATACGAGGAATGAAGGCAAACAATAACCAAATTAACTAACCATCCAGGGCAGTTGAAGATGTATAGAAACAACTGAAGGAAATTTCCCAGAATTGGCAACACTCTACTCCCTAGTAGGAACAAAAGAGCATGGATCCAGAAAAGCATCATGGATTTCAGAAAGTAGGCAGAGGAGAGTCTGTAAGCAGACAGAGGGAACAGATACTGGAGGGCAACTGGGCAGACTTCTGAATGCAGAGGGCAAATGATTTCCAGTCCAGAAGTTGACATCCATCCAAGGAACCAATACAGATTGTCTTCGGATATGAAAGCCTCCAAGTTTTGACTTCCAACACATTCCTGCTGCAGGAAGTTACCAGAGGACAGTTCTACCAAGTGAGGGAGCAAACCAAAATGACACAAAGTGGCTGACCCAGCACAGAAGAGGAGTGAGGGTGAATTCAAGATGTGGACTGTGGCATGAGGTGCTAGCTGGAGGCCTGCCCAGCTCAGTGCAGATGGGGACCTGCTTGCCAAGTTGTCAGGAACTTGCCAGAAAGATACATTTGTAAATACACCACAAAGACATCTGAATATTTGGGATGTGGTAGTTTCTGAGAAAGTGAAAACAACCCAGGATACACAGAAAATACGAAAAGCACAGTCAGAAAAGGATCGGTGGGTTACTGTCGAGGCCTGGGCAGCACATGCACAGGCTTAATAATGTAGTCAGGGAATGTCAACCTACCCAAAGCAAGTCTGCTGGAGGAAGGGAAGGGAAGTCATAACAAGAGAGCTAAATTCTTTTTTCTTTCTTTCTTTTTTTCTTTTTCTTTTTCTTTTTTTTTTTCCAGACAGGGTTTCTCTGTGTAGTTTTGGTGCCTGTCCTGGATCTCGCTCTACAGACCAGGCTGGCTTCGAACTCACAGAGATCTGCCTGGCTCTGCCTCCTGAGTACTGGAATTAAAGGCCTGTGCCACCACTGCTCAGCAGTGAGAGAGCTAAATTCTTACATCCACAGTGACCCAAACTGAAAAACTGAAGAAAGAACAATTTAAAGCTGTTAGAAGTGGCACGGAGGTCATATAGACAGGTCACTAACTAACTAACTAACTACAGCAACACACTTCCTCCAAACAAGGTCACACCTCCTAATATGTGGGTGCCACGCCCTCTGAGCCAAGCATTC